TTCTACTATTTTCCACCATACCAAGCAATGGAAGAATCTCCATTTCCTTTACATCCACTTTTATATCCAAAACTTGACAATGCATGTGCTTCACACCATTATCTAGCGTCTGGATTCTTTGTCAACCTCAAAGTTAGCATAGATCAACATCAATGGTGCCCCCAACAAGGATTAGGGCTTCATACTCTTATTTGGGATAAAAGATGTATCTTCCAGCACCATCCATCTTATAATCACACCGCATAATTCCAATTTATGAACTTAATCTAGCACATGATCTCATGTACTGTACATTATTTATCACAATATCTTACTCGATATGTTAAATTGACTTGTATGAGACTTGTGGATCAAGACCTAGAATTTCTTAATTTCTTTTGAAAAAACACGGGTTGAGTCATGGGCTTGCGGACAGCTTGATTCGATCCATGAGCCCCATGAACCAATAGGCAGAACCAAGTCCACTTTACGGACATGAGCTAATCTAGGACTCAACTTGGTAATATGATTCAATTGAGCTTGTGGGTCTAAGGTCGATCCGACTTGATTAGGTCCATTGACCCCTATAAATAAGAAATTAGGCTAGGTGTACAATGAATTTGTATAACTAGTATAAATTATCAGAATCTCTATCAATTCACATATTGTCAAACTAACTGTACACGTAACACAATTGATAAATAAAAGAATGTTTGAACTCCATTATAATCTAACAGTGCATTTTGTAATAATAGATTGATAGAGAATGTGTGGTTAAAAAATAATGAAAAATTTAGAATTTACGTTTAATATTATTTTATTAAAAAATGTGTAGTTGAAAAGAAAAAGAAAACATGTATTTTGAAAATGATTTGAATAAAAAAGGGGCTAAGTGACGAAAAAAACAAATGAAGGTGATATTTAAGTGAGAAGAACAAGGTGGCAATAGTACAGAATTATGTACGGGCCAAGTAAATAATTTTAGTGCTTTTGCTATATGCCATAGCCGCACACAGCTCATCCATGGCAGACGATCAATTGTGTTGCGCAGGTGTACCGTACAAGCCTTTTGCTGTTAGATTCTCCACCTGTCAACATATCATTGGCGAGTCTATGTGAGGTCAATGGTCAAGACTGAAAAGTTAATTATGTTGTTCCTGAGAAGGTGCTTTCAGACTAGATTTTTTCCTATTTTTTATATAGGCAACCACGCATCTAGGTTATATAAATACCGACAGCCCCTATTGTACAACTTCAAGTGTTAAAAGGGAAAGGTGAAAAAATTCTAATTTTACTTTGGGACTACCGTTTCAAGGGTTCGAATCCTGAAATATGGATTTGACCATTGGGTAAGTGCAAGTGTACAAACAGCCTTCCACCCATACCAATGGAAGCATAACCTGCGATTTACCTCCTTCACCAAGGTTTAGGACAGAGCAGGTGTGGGCCGTCAGGATGCAGCTCATCCTTTATATAAATACCGACACATTTTAAATTCGCGAAGAAATTCAATGACAACAATAATAAGAAAGTATTTTCTATTTTATTTAAAAAGTTGTTTTTTAAATAATTTAGTACTGTTACTCGAACATATTACGAAAGCTACATCCTTTGCATGAGTGTAATCTTTCCACTAAGAGCATATGAATTCGTCAATTAAGACATGTCAAACATTTGACAAAATCAATTTTTTTTTAAAGAAGTATGTAGAAACGTAGATCATTATAACAAATCAGAGTATTTACAACTATATGAAAAGGGCAATATCACCGTACATTCGATCTAACCTACTAAGAGAAAAATAGAAAGACCCCCAAAAAGTTAGTGCGTTTCTTTAGTTAGTAATTACTTATGAGACAAAAACATTCGATGTGAATAAAGAGAGCATGTGTACAGTGAGGATGTTTTTGTTGTATGGACGTGCTGGAGTCATTGGGACAGCTGCCTCTNCCACCTGTCAACATATCATTGGCGAGTCTATGTGAGGTCAATGGTCAAGACTGAAGATTTAATTATGTTGTTCCTGAGAAGGTGCTTTCAGACTAGATTTTTTCCTATTTTATATGACCACACATCTAGGTTATAAGTACCGACGCATGCCCCAAGTCCACATCTCCAACTAGTAGAAGGAGAATGTGAAAAAATTACAACTTTACTTGAGACTGTCGCGTCAAGGGTTCGAATCCTAAAATATGAATTTGAACATTTTGTAAATACAAGTGTACAAGCAACCTTTCACCCTGTACCCTTGGAAGCATAATCTGCGATTTACCTCCTTCACCAAAGTCCTGATCATGACAGGTGGGGGCCGTTAAGGATGCAGCTCATCTTTTATAAATACCAACACATTTTAAATTCGCGAAGAAATTTGATGACAACAATAATAAGAAGAGTCTTGCTACATGTACCATTTGAATTACACTTTGGGTTATTGGGGTCCATCCCTTTCTTCACATGGGGGTTGGGTCCCACGCATTTATTGGATGTGGGACCCGACCTCCATGTGAGAGAGGAAGTGAGATCGGGTAATCCAAAATATTTTCTATTTTATTTAAAAAGTCGTTTTTTAAACAATTTAGTACTGTTACTCGAACATATTATGAAAGCTACATCCTTTGCATGAGTGTAATCTTTCCACAAGAGCATATGAATTCGTCAATTACTTAACAATTAAGACATGTCAAACATTTGACAAAATCAAAATTTTCTTTTTAAAGAAGTATGTAGAGACGTTGATCATTATAACAAATCAGAGTATTTACAACGATAAGAAAAGGGAAATATCACCGTACATTCGATCTAACCTACTAAGTCCTTGTTTGGACCACATTATTTTTTTATTCTCATTCTTCTACTCATTTTCAACCATACATTTTTCAATAAAATAATATATTCCATCATATCAATAACTTTTCCTTTTTTTTTAATCACATGTTATCCATCACGTCACTTCAAAAAAATGCATTCTTTCGTTTTAATGTGTACCAAACGAACTCTAAGAGAAAAATAGAGAGACCCCCAAAAAGTTAGTGCGTTTCTTGAGTTAGTAATTACTTATGAGACAAAAATATTCGATGTGAATAAAGAGAGCATGTGTACAGTGAGGATGTTTTTGTTGTATGGAGTCATTGGGACAGCTGCCTCTACAGTGCTCCTCCATACAAAGTTAAATAACATACCAAATCACGTTTTTGATTAGTATAATCACTAAAGATAATAAAAATTACAAATCATGAAATTCTATGGTGGAGAGCTCAACAAACAAAAGCCAGAAATAAAAAAGAACAGAGGAAAAACCCCTTCCCCAAATTCTCTCCTCATCTTCTTCTCCAAAGAAGAAATAGGGATACATATGTGTGTATAGATTAGAGAGAGAAGAAGAGAAGAGAGAGCGAGTGAGTGAGGACTGCAACTCACGTAGTTACATATCGAATTTTCATTCTGTATATGGATTGATTCTTCTTCACTCTATTTGATGGAACCTATTAGCTTCGTAATCACGGCATCCCATTAGAGAGAGGAAAAAAAATTACAGAAAGCAAAGCACAATTTCCATTGGGATTGAGGTTTTTGTATTGTAAATTGCAATTGCCCTTCACTCTGGCGGAGCTCAAGGGAACAGTACCCTTCCTATTCTCTTCGATTTTCTCAACTAGTTTCGATTTCAAGTTGTGGAGAAAAAAGAACGACAATAATTGGAGATTGTTTTATAGAGGAAGAAAAATGTTGTGGATTATGAGATTTTCTGGGTTTTTTTCTGCAGCAATGGGGATGATAGTACTTTTCCCTTCTCTTCAATCCTTCCCTCCGGCAGAAGCCATTAGGTCCTCTAATATGGATCGTTATCTTCGATGTCCTGCATGTACAAATTCAATGGACAAATTTCCCTTCAGAAAAGCCCCTGTTTTTCGCAATGCCGACGAATGCAGCTCATCAACATTGGGAAAATCAGGCGTTTGCGATCCCTCTTTGGTACATGTAGCTATTACTCTTGATGTTGAATATTTACGCGGTTCAATCGCTGCCGTTCATTCAATTCTTCAGCATTCGAAGTGTCCAGAAAATGTTTTCTTCCATTTCCTTGTATCAGAAAATGGCCTCGAAAACCTAGTCCGATACACTTTTCCGGAGTTAAAGTTTAAAGTTTACTTCTTTGATCCAGAACGAGTCCGGAGCCTGATTTCAAGTTCCGTGAGGCAAGCGCTTGAACAGCCGTTAAATTATGCTAGAAATTACTTGGCGGATCTTCTGGAACCATGTGTGAAACGGGTGATTTACTTGGATTCGGATCTCGTACTAGTCGATGATATTTCGAAGCTTTGGAGTATAAGCTTGGGGAAGAAGACGATAGGGGCGCCGGAATATTGTCACGCAAACTTCAGCAAATACTTCACCGAGTATTTCTGGTCGGACAGGAAATTCTCAGGCGTGTTTTCAGGCAGAAATCCTTGTTATTTCAATACCGGCGTAATGGTAATCGATCTGAGTAAATGGAGGCGGTTTGGATACACCCGCCATATCGAGCGGTGGATGGATATACAAAAGACAAGCCCAAGCCGTATTTACGAGCTCGGCTCGCTTCCGCCCTATCTTTTGGTTTTCGCTGGACAAGTGTCTCCGATAAAGCACAGGTGGAATCAACACGGTCTTGGAGGAGATAATGTGAGAGGAAGCTGCCGTGACCTCCACCCTGGCCCGGTGAGCCTTCTCCACTGGAGCGGCAGCGGCAAGCCGTGGCTTCGGCTAGACTCCAAACAGCCGTGCCCTCTCGACTCGTTGTGGGCCCCCTATGATTTATATGGACAGTCGACGTGAATTTTGTCTCCCCTGTAATTCACCGCGGCCGGTAAATTCCTCCAGTCACTGTTTTCAATATTAGTTTTATTTTTTTTGTTACATTTACTCATTTTCTATTTTCTTCTTTGATTACCATTTTCCATTTTTGTTTTATTTGTATTCTGTTGTATTGTCCCCCCCACCCCCCACCCCACCCCTGGAAAAAAATAAAGGTGAATTTATTCATTCATCTGCTTGTTTTTCCTTCTGGTTTATTTTATTTAGACATATATTAATGAATAAAACAATGTTACACCGTATTTGGTTTGTACAAAAAAGGCTCAACTTAGGATAGCTTCTCTTTCTAGTAAAAGTTTTTTTTTTCACTTTTAAAGAAGTTACCTTATTCTAAAAATTCTACTTTTAATTAGATAAAATACTTTCAGAAAATTATACAAAAAACTTTGAAGACGTAAAATAGTTGTTGACTTTTACAAAATCATATTGAGTGAGTGCTTAGTGGGTTAGTGAATTTAGTTTTACTCTTTGAATGATGAACATTTGGTGCGGGAAATAATGTTAGGCCAGATTTGTAGTGTTGTAACACGAATGCTTTCCACTTTTGTTGGATGGATTAGGGAGCATAAGTTGCGCTGCTGCCACGGCTTATGTTTAATAAACAGGTTGACTAATGAATAATCGAGGCTTCTTGCCGGTGTCGTCCTTTCCCACATCATCATATTTGATTTTGGATTAATAGCAGAATGCCTCATATCCATTAGAAATCTCAGAAAATCCCCCTAAACTTTTTATTATTTTATTAATCCCTTCCAAAATCCTTCACCCCAAATTCCTCATTTCTTTTCCCACCTCGAACCTTTTATCAAATTGGGGTCTTCTGCGATTTTCAATAGGTAGGGGTGTATATCGCAAATGAAAACTTTTCTAGGGGGATTTTATGCTATTAATCCTTTGATTTTATAAAACTTGGACGATTGTGATGAGATGAATGCTTATCATCGGTGGGTACGGAGTCTGTGGAGAGAAAGAAAAAAAATTAATACTAATTGTTACATAGATTAATTTTTTAAAAAAAAAAAAAATGATGTGAGCAGTGGCAGGTCTAGATTTATCGGACGTTTGATAAAAAATGAAGTTGACCTTGAAAGTATTATTGAACAATATTAGAAAAAGAAAAGGTTAAAATTATATTCGTTTTCAATTATTGAGTCGGTGGAATAGGAGTGAGCAAACTGCTTATTAGGTATCCACGGGGTTCATCGCTTGGAAATGTGGAGGAGAAGCGGTGGATTTCCTGTGATCTAGCTAACTACTATGGACAATGAAATTCCCTTTATAGCCTTCGTATGTTTGAGGTTAAGATTATTAGGAGATTGTGATTAGTTAAATAAAGAAAATATAAAGGGTTCTTTTCCTTTTTGGGTTATTGAAAGTATAAATTATCTTATGAATACGTGCCAACTTGACCTTAATAATTTGATATGAATAGCTGTTTGTGGCTGTAAGGTATTGGTTGCCAAAGTTGTCATTGTTGCGTACAAAGTGTCTATTCTTTTAAAAAGCGACAGATTCCCTATAACCTCCCTCCCTCCCTGCCATCACACCTCGCCACTTGCTTTCTAATATTCTTCAAATTACCTCAATTTGGACAATTGTACATTTATTAACTTTTCTAATATAATAGGATTATGATGTAATTCACTTTAAACATATTGCCCTATGTTTTAAAATTAGTCCGCTCAATGACCTAATAACGTAAAGGATCAAGCTTTGAACTCGTAGAAGTTATCGTAAGAAATCAAATTTTGAATCGGAAAAGAGTAAGTTGGTTCACATTCTTTCATTACATTAGCACAATCAAATTTCGATGAGAAAAAATGTCCAACTCTGTGAGTGTAAGTTTTGCTTTTGAATTGGGAACCATTTTTAAAAACTTGAAGTTAGACATATTTTCGTGAGGACTACGAGATAAATTCATAAAACTTTGGAGAATCTCCGTCCAAAAAGTTAAGGATGTATTTCTACAAAGAGAATAGGTTGTGACCAATAGTGCAAAATTCCCTTCATTTGATTATGACCTTTTCATTAGGTAGTATTTTAATTGTATAGGCGATTTAGATTGAGACTTGGCAGCCGCCAATTACCCCCCCGGAATGAGTAATCAAATATGAGTTCGACANGCGATTAAGATTGAGACTTGGCAGCCGACAATTACCCCCCCGGAATGAGTAATCAAATATGAGTTCGACAGCTTTGTCGCAATTATCCTAATCATACGCTGCTATATCTCTTACCTTTTATTAATCAAATAAAATCAAATCAAAACTAAGTTTAACAAGCAAGAATGGTCTAGAAACACGTACAATAGGACAATGAACAAGGATATTATTAGTGGATTGTACACACTATCTTGACGAAAATGAGAAAAGATGAGGACCACATATGTTAAAACTTTCTCTTAGGTCACGTTTCCATATTTTTGCCCCTATTTGGTTTAGATAAAATTCAGATTTTTGTAATTTTTAATAAAAAATTATTGCTGTCAATGCTGCGAAAAGAAACAAAGTGCTTAAAAAACAAAAAAAAAAAAAGAAAAAGATCAGAACTTTACGGCTACAAAACAGCCACCGACAGGGGTCGAGGGGACCATCACAAATTGTGGTGCCACCACAATTTGTTAACCACAAAAACATGGGATATTAGAAAATGATTTCAAAGACACAAGTTCAAGCTAATTAGAATGTATTGCATAAGAAAAAGGTCTGCACCTTGCAAGACCAAGTGTATGTTATAACTATTGTTGGAGACTAAATTTTGGCCTACTGAAATGGATGAAATGTGATAACTAGGACTGTTCGTGAGTCGGGTCGGTTCGGTTCGGTTATGAAG